AGAACTATGCACTGAAAACTATAAGACCTTGTTGAAAAAAAACTGGAGGACACAAAGAAATCAGAATATATTCCATGTCATGAATTGAAACAATCAACATAGTTAAAATGGCCATATTCCCTGAAGTAGCAATTTTCAATCTTTTTAATCTCATGGCACACATAAACTAATGGCTAAAATTCTGTGGCACACCAAAAAATACGATTTATCAATTTGACAAAAAAAAAAGGTATAATTTTTGCTCATTCCCATCAGACATTTATTGTTATGTTGGCTGTTGTCATTATTTTATTTGACAATCTAAGGAAAAAGAGGCTAATGTTCCTGACTAGGCAAGCATTGCATATTTTAAAAATTCTTGAAACACACTGATTGAAAATCGCTGACATAGAGCAATATACAAATTTAATGCAATCCGCATAAAAATCCCATTGGCATTTTTCAAAGAAACAGAACAAAAAACAAATAGCCAAAGTTCATGAAACCACAAAAGATCCCAAGTAACCGAAACAATTCCACAAATAAGAACAAAGCTGGAGGCATCACACTCCCTGACTTCAAATTATACTACAAAGCTACAATAATCAGGACAGTATGGTATTGGTGAAAAAACAAGCATACAGACTAATGGAATAGAACCAGGAGCCCAGAAATAAACCCACATGTACATGGGCAAATAATTTTTGACAAAGGAACCAAAAAATATACAATGGAGAAAGGGAAACCTTTTTAATAATTGGTGTTGGACAATTTGGAAAACTACTGTAAAAGAATAAAACTAGACTGCTATTTGACACCATAAACAAAAACTCAAAATGGATTAAAGACTTAAATATAAGACCTGAAACAATAAAATGCATAGAAGAAAACATAAGTACTAAGCTTATATACCTTGGTTTCTGACAAGCTTTTGTGAACTTGATGGCCAGGTTCCTCCTAGCCAGGTTCCTCTCTTTATTGTCCTCTTACATTTGTATTTATCCTATTTGATCTTAATCCTATCCATTCTATTCCAAAGGTTAGGGCGTTTCTTATCTTCATTTCAAGGTTACTCTATTGTTCTATTAAGCTACAAGGAAGTAACTGAAGGAGGTTATTCTAAGTAAAGATTATGTAGCTTAAGCTGATTGTTCGTAGTTAAAGTGATTAACTACCCCTCTGGCACTTAATTAAAGGGTTTACTGATAAAAATCCTCACCATAGGACCCAGCAAACCCCCTTCTGGGTAGCTACCCAAAAAAATTTGAAAACACTTATTTGTAAATATATATGTAGCCCCATGTTCATTGCAGCATTATTCACAGTAGCCAAGACATGAAAACAACCTAAGTGTCCTTTGATGGATGATTGGATAAAGTACATGAATATATATTACTACCAGCCATAAGAAAGGATGAATTACTGACATCTGCAACAAAATAAATAGATCTTAAGAGTATCATGTTAAGCAAAGTAAGTCAGATGGAAAGGACATTATTTCCCTCATATGGGAGCTATATAACAGAAGCAACAAATGTACAAAAAACCCTCATATACACAGACAACAGTATGGTGATTACCACAGGGCAGGGGGTCGGGGGAAGCTGAAGAGGATAAAGGGGATCAAATATATGGTGACAGAAAACTAGACTTTGAGTGGTGAGCCCACAATGCAATCTATCAATGATGTATTATAAACTTGCACAATTGAAACTTGTAAACACTACTACCCACTATCACCCCAATAAATTTAATTTTTAAAAAAGAATGATTTTTTAAAAAAATGTTGCTTTGCCGAAACCGGTTTGGCTAGGTGGATAGAGCATCAGCCTGCGGACTGAATGGTCCCAGGTTCGATTCCGGTCAAGGGCATGTACCTGGGTTGCGGGCACATCCCCAGTAGGAGGTGTGCAGGAGGCAGCTGATCGATGTTTCTCTCTCATCGATGTTTCTGACTCTCTATCTCTCTCCCTTCCTCTCTGTAAAAAATCAATAAAATATATTTTTTAAAAAAATGTTGCTTCAAGCTGAGACCATGATACTAAAAGCACAAATGTAAGTACATACAGATATGAGAACATGAGAGGGAGAGCTGAACTGAAAAAGGGACAGGGTGATGTCTGAGCCAAGTAGAGGAGGTTGAATCCAAGTAAGTGGATGTGGAGAGTAAGAGACATATTCATAGCTGACCAACCAGTTTCTTCAACTGAAACAAAACTGCCACCTACAGTCCATCTTTCAAATTGTCTACTTTTTTTTCCCTGGTAAACTAGCCAACATCTGCAGAGCATGTACACTTATCCTTCTTGATGGGCTAAGAAAGTATTTTCTGTCGTCAATATTTTCTTTGATGTTTCTGTGCTCCTTGCCTGGTCAGGCTCATCCTTCGGCATGGCGGTCCCAGACCGAACAGAGTAGCACAGAAGTCTGTTCAGAAGCATGTCAAGCAGGACAAATCATCCCTCGTCCCAAATACACAAGAGTTGATCCTAGCTACTTAGACTATGAACTTTTGCTTGGCTACAACTTCATAAAAGATTCTTAAATAGCCCTGGCCAGGTGGCTTAGTTGGTTAGAGCATCATCCTGAAACGCCAAGGTTGCAGATTTTATCTCTAGTCAGGGCACATACTACAAGAAGCAACCAATGAAAGCATAACTAAGTGGAACAACAAGTGGATGTCTCTCTCTCTCTCTCTCTCTCTCTCTCTCTCTCTCTCTCCTCTCTTTCTCTCTCTCCAGAAAAAAATCAGTAAGAGGAAGTAAACAAATATATCATATTTTCAAGTAGTGATAATAGAGGGGAATTAAGGAAGACATAGGGACAGACTGTTAAAGGCTCTATGTTAGATAAGGTGGTTAGAGAAGGCCTCTCTGATGACTATTTGAGTAAAGCCCTGAACAGGTTTACCTAAAAAAAAGTATTCCAGGTGCAGCGTGTACTTGGCATGTTCACAAAACAGCAATAAAACCAGGGTAGCTACAGCAGTAACCATAAGGAAGAGGACAGGAGGTGAGATTGGAGAAGTAGCTGGGGATCAAATCACATAGGGGCTTGGAGAGGCATTATTTTAAGCATCATCAAATATGAAGTTTCACTTCTTTGTGGTGGGTCTCAGGAAATGCCAATTAAGTTAGTATTAGCCGTAAAGGGCCTTAGAGGCAAATGTACCTGCCACACGTAGGGTAAGGCATTCTTACACTGACTAGCATGATTATTAGATTATTTATTCTTCGGAAATTCCCTCTCACACACACTGGGGGATGGGATAGTTCTCAATTAACAGTTAAAAAACATCTCCTAGCCCTCATCGGTTTGGCTCAGTGGATGGAGCGTCAGCCTGCGGACTAAAGGGTCCCAGGTTCGATTCTGGTCAAGGGCATGTAAAAAAAAAAGAAAAAAGAAAAAAAAATCTCCTGTTCTTGCCTTGTTAATCCACTAAGGCATGTTTGTTGTTGTTTGTTTGTAGAAAAAAAAATCTCCTGTTCTTGCCTAGTTAATCCACTAAGGCATGTTTGTTGTTGTTTGTTTGTTTAATGCTAAGGCATATCTTCCCCATTCACATGGGATTCTACTTCTCGCCACATGTGAATGGGTCCTTCTTGACTACTGTCTCCATGAAGTTAACTTCTCACACCTCAGATTCCTAACACCACTAAATAGGCAGCAGAGGAGTTAAGTCAATGTGGGCTGCATGGCATACCATAATTCTGGAGCGTGGGTCATGAAAGATCTGCAGGTGATTCTAGTACAAGTAATGTGCACAAATGTTGAGAGAATGCAGAGCCCTGGAATGAGAAAGCCAATAGGCGTTTCTCACATAAAGGTGAAGGTCTGTTTCTAAATCCCCTCTCAACATGGTTGTCAGAGTGACAACGCTAGATACAAAAGAAGCAGCTTGGGCTAGAACAGGAGAGAAAGGCGCTTCAGAGCGGGAAGGAGAGCATGGACCAGAGGGAGATGTGAAAAGGCAAAAGGCTTTGGGATGAGCTGAGGGAGAAATGGGAATGAGCAGAGGAACGGCAGGATGCCATCCTGCACTGTGGCCATCCTGCACTGTTGCTTACCTGTGTGTCTGTCCTCACTGACTGGACCCCCAGCACCTGGGTGATCTGGGGCTAGTTATCCCCAGCACGAGGTTCACAGAGCCCTCCGACAGTCAGCACCACGCAGTGTGTGAAGGTACAAGGAGAAGAGGTTTGCTCTCTTCCTCCTCTTTCACCATCTATCTCCTTGACTTCTAGGAAAGCTAATTAGTGGTTTCTCTTTTTACTCCAGTTTCTTTCATTTTCCCCTTTCTGTCCTTTAAATCAAACCAGAGACAAAGTGACAGGACCAAGGGTGGCTGTTCATGGCCAAGAGTGGCCCATCAAACAGGCTACGTAGAGGTGGGACCAGAAAAGAGGCAATGATCAGAGAAGAACAAAAAGAAGTGAGCTGCAAGGCTGCTGAAGCGGGAGCGTGGGATCTGCTTGTGCCTGCAAACGTTTGCTGTGGGATCCTTTTCCTGGGCCCCTGGCATGATTCCGGGGCTGGGGCAGAATGTTAGAGGGGGTCTGTCTAGGGCAGCGACAGGAAAAGGCACACAGGAGCGACAGAAGGGCGGAGGACTCAGAGACCTGTGTACGTTTGCGGAGAAGAGGACCTAAGACCAGGCGAAGCCAGCTAGGAAGAATACTAGTAAAGAAGGGTCTGTAGGTGAGAAGGGGAGTTATACAGAGGAAAGCCTAAGATACGAGACGAAATGAAGGTCTCGAAAGCAAGACTCAAAGAGCGAGGTCTCGCCGGAATCAGAAATAGCAAAACAGAGCCACGGGGACGCAGCTGCCTCACACCCGCTTCTCCCATGCAGGCAGCTGCTCCGCCAGCGAGCCCTGCTGGCCTCCAAGCAGTCTGGAAAGTCTGCACCACAGACGCAAACCACAACACCCATAGTGCCCCGCGCGCAGCCAAACCCAGCCTCGTCCGGTCTCCACTAGCCAATGAGCTTTTGCCAAGGTCCTCTGCCCCGGAAAGGCCCCGGGAAGGGTGGGCGCTTCCTGTCCGTGCTTCGTTCCCTTAGCTCCTCGGAGACTCCGACGGTGCAGTTCTCGCTGCGAGACGGTGAGGCATTGGCCCCAGGTCTGGGGAAGGGTCTGCATGGCATAGGTTCCACCAACGGAAGGTGCACTGGCAGCGGGTGGAGAGCCCACCCACCCGTCGGGCTTCTTCCCCGCTTTCCATGGCCGACCTGTGACGCATGCGCACGCCCCCGCCCCCGCCCCCCATGGCCTTGAACTTTAGGTATAATGCACTTCTCCACGCCCTGGGTGGGCCCACTTTCTCCAGGTGGACCTCTGCCGTGAAGCACGCGCTCACCTTGAGAAAGACCGAGACCCCCGGTCACCGGGCCCTAGTTTACATTGCTGTGTTCAAGGCATTGTATTTGGGGTAATGGCCCTTTAACCAAGCAGCTGTGGGAGATTGAGCAGGTCACTTAAATTGCGGACGGAGCACGAGAATTCTCGCGCTTTCTCTTCTAAGACTTGTGGCCAATCACGAGAATTCTCGGCTTTTCATTGTCGTTTAGAAACAGTGTAACGGAAAACGCATTTGCTAAAGTTAAAAATTACCAAAGGAATTAAAAGTGATTAACCCCTTGTCGTTAGTAATAAAAATAACTGTTTTTTATATCAATTTGGTATTTTTAAAGTGCTCAGTAACCATGGATAGTGACGAAGAACATGATAAAATTCTGGATATATTTGCTGACAATTTATCAGATATTCCAAGTGAAAGTGATGAAAGCTTCGACAGTGGCAATGATACAGTTATTCCTTCAAAAAGGCAGACAATAGTAATTTCAAGTGATTCCGAACCTGAAAATTTGAACAATTCCACACACGATTTTGAGTGTAATTTGCGTCTTGGTTGCCAAAATAATGATTGGTCAAAAGAGGACTTTCAGCCTAATTTGGAAAAATTTGAAGGTAATTCTGGGGTTACAGTTCTACCAACTGATTGTAAGAACATCATTGAAGTCACCAACTTGATTTTTGACAACGATCTGTTTGAACTATTTTGTCATCAATCGAACATATATTATAACCAAAATTTGGGAAAGCACAAAGTTTCAAAAACAAAAAAGTGGTCTCCTGTTACTCCAACAGATATGAAAAAATTTTTAGGACTTATAGTGCTAATGGGGCGTACTCGAAAGGATACTTGGAAAGAATATTGGTCTACAAATCCAGTTCTAGCGGTCCCAATATTTCCTCAGACGATGAGTCGAAATCGTTTTGAACAAATCTGGACTTATTGGCATTTCAATGACAATGCAAACATGACTAAATCTTCATCCAGGCTATTTAAAATTCAATCTGTACTCGACCACTTTATTAGTAAATTTCAAACAATATATAAACCTATGCGAGAATTATCATTAGATGAAGGCATGATTCCATGGAGGGGACGTCTCCTATTTCAGACTTACAACCCAGCTAAAATTATTAAATATGGTTTACTTGTAAGAATGGTATGTGAGAGCAAGACTGGGTATATTTGCAATATGGAAATTTACACAGGTGAAGGGAAGAAATTGAATGACTCTATTCTGTCACTACTTCGGCCGTATCTGGATTTGGGGCATCACATATACCAAGGTAACTATTACAGTAGCATTTCAATTGCAGAAACTTTATTACTACATAAAACAAGAGTTTGCGGAACAATTCGAACAAGAGGCTTGCCAAAATGTTTGAAAGATGAAGCATCTACGCTTCAAAGAGGTGAAATAGCCTTCCGAAGAAAAGGTGATATTTTATTATTGATTTGGAAGGGTAAAAGAGAAGTTCGAATTATTTCAACTATCCACAATGCTTCCTCTTGTGAAACAGAAAAGACAAATTGGCATACTGGAGAGGAAATAAAGAAACCAGTTTCCATTGTGCAGTATAATAACTATGTACAAGGTGTTGATCTTGCCGGCCAATATCTTTCAACATGTAGTATCCTTAGAAAACCAATAAAATGGACGAAGAAAGTAGTGCTTTACCTGATTAATTGTGGACTATTCAATTCATTCAGGATTTATCAAGCGCTCAATCCAGGAAGCCAAGTAAGATACAAAGACTTTCTTTTAACTGTAGCAACAGAGTGGATCTCATCCGAAGTAGATAAATCAGCAGATCCAGAATTTAGCAATCCTGATCCATCACTTGTTAGAAGTACGAGAGCTCCTCAGAAAGATCATCCACAAAGATTATCAGGCAACATGAAGCAGCACATCCCTGTGCAAATTCCATCTTCAGATAAAAAGAAATATCCTACGAAAGTGTGCAGAGTATGCAAAAGGAACGGTAAGAGAAGAGAAACGCGTTACATTTGCCAGCTTTGTTTAGTTCCACTTCATATTACACAGTGTTTTACAAAGTATCACACTTTAAGAAGATATTAGCTTATAGGAACATGTAATGAATAACTTCAAAATGCAATGGCTATTTCATTTTAAAGCGGGCCTTTAACATTTCTGTAGAACGTTTTTTGTACTCATTCAATAGAAACTTACCTGGCCACTGGGTAAAGCTAGCAACAAAACTACTGGTCCGCAATGTGTTAAGCATCAGGACCTGGGTCTCCTCACCTGTGAAACGGATGACACAGTGAGGCACGGCCTGCCTCCTGAAGCTGCGAAAAGAGTGCACAGGGGGCGGCAGCACCCGCAGCACCAGGCCCCAGAGAACCAAGGCTGACCTGGCCATTGGTCCAGCACCTGCTGAACTGAGAGCAGGAACTAGAAACAGGGCAGCATTTCTGGGGTCAGCTGGAAAGAGAAACTTGGTTGGCTTTTCCTCTATCAGCAATTCCTGATTGTTCTCTTTCTGCATATTTATAATCTGACCACTTATCTTCATCCCTACTGCCATTCACAGATCATCACCTCTTGCTTAAGTGGTTTCCCTGTCTCCAGTTCCCATCCTACCCCCCTTAGATCATTCTAAAATGCAAATTTGGTTAAGACGTATGGCTTCCTTTTGCCTCCAGAATAAAGTACAAACACCTTAACAAGGCTTCCATCACCTGGCCTCTTCCCACTCCTCCAACTTTCTCTCACTCTGTGTTCCAACCATCTTCAAATACTACCTGTTCCTTTACCATACCAGGCTGCCTCTTACCTCAAAGGCTTTTTACGAATAGAAACAACTTAATAAACATTCTGAACTCTGCTCACACAATCTTGACATGATTTAATCAGTGTCTTTCACCATACTCTCAGCTCTCCCTTTTCAGCTGACAGATTCTATAGCTTTCTGTTCATTTAGTTATTAAAAGTCGAGACCAGCCCTACCGGTTTGGCTCAGTACATAGAGCATTGGCTGTGGACTGAAGGGTCCTGGGTTCGATTCTGGTCAAGGACATGTACCTAGGTTGCAGGCTTGATCCCTGGCCCTAGTCAGGGCATGTGTGGGAGGCAACCAATCGATGTGCCTCTCTCACATCAATGTTTCTCTCTTTGTCTCCCCCCCCCCCCCACTCCCTAGAAATCAATGGAAAAATATCCTCAGTGAGGATTAACAACAACAAAAAAGTCTAGACCAGTGTCAACCACATCAATTCAACACCAACAGGAATCCCAGTTTGGGGTGAGGTGAAGAAGGAAACTTTTTTCAGTGCAAGCAACTCAATTGTGACACAGCATGACTGTGAAAATAGCATGGCTGTGCAACATCTCAATGGTGATACAACACAGCTATGAACACAGCACTGCTGTTAGGAGGCCCTGGGGCCATGCTACCCTGACTAGCTCTGCGCATCTCTATATGCCAGTCTGGTCTGGTCTTCTCTGCTTGTAGAGATATCTTTATTGTTAGGTCTTTGGCGGTTCAGCTCTCGTCAGGGAAGTGCAGTCTCCAGTCTGTAGTGAAAAGAGAAAGTGCACTTTTAGAGCCAGAGAGGAGCTGACATATAGACAGAAGTCCCTGCCCAAGTTGATCCCTGATTGGTCTATCAGATAGACTATCTTTATGAAAATAAGGGCTCTAAGTCCTTGCAGTTTGATTGGTCCAAAGGGCATTGTTCTAATTGGTCAGAATGGAGTTGCTCTGATTGGTCAGTAAAGAAGCTGATGTTAGCTGCACTATTCCAGTTGGATCAGGAAACCTCAGTCCTATGGGTTGAAATAGGATTCCAGGAACTTAAGGGCTGCCTCCGATGGCAGAAACACAGTTCAGGCAGGCACTTGTGCAGAGGCAGATGGTTCAGTGCACGCTTCTCCCCGAACTGCATTTTATAGGAGAGGTCTCTGTGTAGAAATGGCTGCTAAGCTCTGCTTTTTTGTTTCTGATGTGTGGTTTGTTTGTTTTTGCTTTAATATTTTTATTGATTTCAGAGAGGGAGAGAGAGCACCTTATCATAGCACCTACCACAGAACAAATCACAGAGAAACATCAATGAGAGAATCATCGATCGGCTGCCTCCTACACGCCCCCTACTGGGGGGTCGAGCCCACAACCTGGTCATGTGCCCTTGACTGGAATCAAACCTGGGACCCTTCAGTCCCCAGGCCAACCCTCTATCCACTGAGGCAAACAGGCTAGGGCTGTTTGTTTGTTTTTTAATTTGATCCCAGTTCAGCCACCAGGAGCCCATCTTGGTAGATATCCTCTTTCTCAGGGTCCACACTAGTATAGTCCACTTTAAAACTTCAATTGCACATCAAGTTTTAAGGTCCTTCTTCCCCTCAGCACCAACCAGGTTTCAGCAGTGGGACTTTGGGGAACAGGTGCATTCTGTCCTGTCATAGAAAGCACTCTCTCTCCCTAATTTAAACTACTTCATTTGGGACCTGGAGGAAGGATTGAGGCAGGTGGGGGGAAATGGTCAAAAACTCTTTTTACTAACTGGTCATCTCATTGCAGTCATCTGTTGGTTGTGTGCCTCCCAGGCTAAGACAAACTGGTCATGGATACCTTCCATTTTTAAGCTGCCCAAATGTTAGCTCTGCTTTTTTGTTTCTGTTGTGTGGCCAGGTCGAGGGACCCCATCAGTGCATGATTGGGGCCGGGTAGGGATGTAGGAGGTTGGCCAGCCAGGGAGGGACTGTGGGAGGGCTTCAGGGCATGTCCGGCCCATCTCACTAAGTCCCAATCGGCCAAACCCCAGCAGCAAGCTCACTTACTGGTTAGAGCATCTTCCCCCTGGTGGTCAGTGCACATCATAGCAAGCGGTTGAGTGGTCTTAGCATATCATTAGCATATTGCGCATTGATTGGTTGAACAGACGACCAGACGATGGGACACTTAGCATATTAGGCTTTTATTATATAGGACTAGAAGCCCGGTGCATGAAAATTCATGCACTCGGGGGTCCCTCAGCCTGGCCTGCGCCCTCTCGCAGTCTGGGAGCCCTCAGGGGATATCCAACAGATGGCTTAGGCCTGCTCCCTGTGATAGCCTAAGCCGCAGCCTCCCTCTGCAGGAGGTGACCGGGCAGGTGGGCCCGCCGATAAGGGGACAGTGCTGGCCAGCCCTGACCCCTCGATCACCCCTCCCCTGCTGCTGGTCATCACTGCCCCCCACCAACCAGTCATTCCACTGTTCAGTTGATTTGCATATTATGCTTTTATTAGACAGGATAGGAAGTTCACATCCTTGCTAAGCCAAATTGTAGGAGTGTATGGGGCGCAGGTACAGTGTTTTGGCCAGGTTCAAGCCTCGGCCTAATGAAAGGACAGGGTCCTCTCATTGCCACGTGCAAGTCCCAGCTGGAGGGCAGGGCCCTCCCAGCACAATTATAGCCAACGGCTGTGGTAGTAAGCTTGAACCTATGGCCCAAACACCTAGCCCCACGTGCCTTGTGATAGAGTTCGGGTGCATGTAGTTGAGTAGGGTTGAAACTCACGAGAATGCTGTAAACAACGTGATCACGCCCCTACTTTGCCTCGTGGCATCTGCTATAAAAAAAAGACACGGCTCGTGGGCGCTGTCGTTGTCTCCTCATCAGGAAGGCAGCGTCCCACCGAGACCCAGCTATTATTCTCTTGTCTGTCTTTCCTTAATCCTTTCCCCCCCCCCCCCCACTCGGGATCACCCTTGGTCGTGCTGGTGTGGCACAAGTGGTGCCCGACCAGGGACTGAGTTCTGGGACCAGGGCCTGAGTTTTGGCTGTAACAAGTGACGCCAGAGCAGGCCCTTTGGCCGTAACAAGTGGTGTCGGAACAGACCTGAGTTCGGGGGAATTTAAAAAGTGGTCAGGTGAAAGGAGGCTCCAAGGCACGCGCAGAGAGTAAGCTTAAAAAACAAAAGTAAAGAAATAAGAAGTTAAGCTTAAAAGGCAAACGTAAGAAGGCCAAAAAACAAAAATAAGGTAGGGAGCCGAAGTGTGGTAAAATTAGCTCGGTGTAAAACATGGGAATAATGCTTAATTGAAGCATTTTTAAAGTCTAAGCGGTAGGAAATAAGCAGTAGAAATAAGCGGTAAGAAATAAGCTGTAGAAGTAAGAAATAAGTAGAAATAAGCGGTAGAAATTGAAAATAAGCGGTAGAAATCGAAAATAAGCGGTAGAAA